CCTTTTGGAAGAAAACATCCCCCCCACATGATGCTGCCCCCACGTTTCACGGTGGGGGAGGGTTTTTTCCCGGGGGGGATGGTCAGTGTTAGTTTTCCCCACAAAAGTTTCATTTTGGTCTCCTTACCGGCCCCCCTTCTTCCACATGTTTGCTGTCCCCCCCCACATGGCTTTCACAAACTGCAAAGGACTTTTATGGTTTTCCCCCAACAAGGGTTTTTCTTCTTGTCACTCTTCAAAAAGGTCAGATTTGTGGATGCGACAATATTGTCTGGGACGATTCCCCCCCTGAGTGTGACCTGCAGCCCTCCTCCAACAGTTCCCCCAGAGGGGGCCTCTTGGCTGCTTCTCTGATGAATGCTCTCCTTGCCGGGGCCGGTCAGTTTAGGTCCAAGAACACAAACCCAAACAAAAAACAAACAAAAAGAAACAAAGACAACCAAACAAAAAAAAAAACAAAAAAAAAAATTCAAAAAAGTAAAAAAAAAACAAAGCAGCGACATAGGACAGTTCTCCCAAAAAAAAAAAAAAAAAACAAAAAAAAAAAAAATCATCCTCTCCCTCAACAGTAGATCTCTACGGCAACTAAGACCCCCAGCAACACAGACCCTCACACACAAACAGATTTATAGATCCCCCAGCAGCGCATCATGTAGTCCCTCAGCGACCCAACACCCCTTAGATGCTGAGGAGCAGAATGATCCTCAACCAGGGGCAGACTGACTCACCCATAGGGCCCCCAAGCGAAAGGGGATGTTGGGGATCTGTGTCCTTGCCACACTTAACCACACTCAAAAAAGCCTATGTATGGTACCAGGGACATCTCATGGGGGGCCCTGCTGAACAGGGGCCCTCATACCCGAATGGTCATTTCACCCGTGCCCCAAAACGTTCCACTGCTGAAAAGAAGCCTGAAATGCTGTGCACGAGGCCCTTAATCTGCGGGTCTGAACGGCCCCACGGGCGGCCACTCTCACCCTTCGAGTCGGCCCCTCTTCCATGGTCGGCAGCGGGCCCCCGGCTCTTTCATGCCAGCCATCGTGGAAGGTACATTAGTAAAACGTAATGTACTATTAGTGACAGCTGATCGAGACATCTCCGCCGGCTCTTACGGCGTGGAAGGGCCGCGGCGGTTCTTTTTTTTTTTTTGTCAGCCATTGATTGATATCTTGATTAAGGTTTCCAGACGGCATTTTTTTTTTTTGTTTACTTGGTGTCACCGGCGGGCAGATTAGGAGGCTCCCTCAATCCCCCGTTCATGCCATATTATGTCCTACAGACACGCTCGCTCTCACAGCTCTCGCCTATTGTTCGTTCCTGGCAGACTTGGAACTCCCTGGGGACTCGGCCCATAAAGACATTTCTGTTAGAAGCCGCGCGGCGGCTCATTGTGGAAAAAATTGTCCCTGGAAAAATTAGCATGGTACAAGGACGGTCAGGCGTCATGTAGCACAAATGACAGCTGCGTGGCTGAAACAATGGGGATGAAATGGCTTTTGCAGCGGGGCCATTTCTCTCATGTAAATGTTCCCCACAAACGGAGTTCTGCGCGCTGCCCCCGTCGCAGATAAAACACGCTCTCCTTCCTCCACTTCTGCCTCTCTGCTAAGCCCTCCGTCCGGAGGGGCCGCGCCGCCGCCCAACAAAACAACGCACGGGGCTGACAAAGCGTGAAAAACCGCCATTGCACAATGGAACGCAATGGAACATTTTCCCATTGCGCGACTTAATCCGTGCGTTGTATCGTGCGTTACGACCGTCGCAGCGTGTGTGGTGGGGGTGATAATACGGGGCGGGATAATCAGGCGGAACTGCTGCGCAAACTCTTCCCCACAACAGTTGGGAGCATGAAATTGTCCAAAATGGCGCCTTAAGATTTCCCTTTACTGGAACTAGGAGGCCCAAGCCCAACCCCTGAAAAACAACCCCACACCATAACCCCCCCTCCACCAAACTTTACATTTGGCACAATGCAGTCAGGCAAGTATTTTCTCCTGCCAACCGCTAAACCCGGACACGCCCATCGGATTGCCAGACAGAGAAGCGTGATTGGTCCACTTCAGAGAACTATAACATGGAAGCAGGGCGGACTGACAACTCATGGGGCCCACGGGGGCAATAGGGGATCATGGGGGGCCCCTGTGTCTTGCCCAAACTCAAAAAAAGCCTATGAAAAAGGTACCAGGGGCATCTCATGGGGCCCATACTGACCCAGGCCCTCAGGCAGTGCCCGAGTTTCCAAATGGTCAGTCCGCCCCCCTGCATGGAAGAACACACCGATGTAACCAGTCGCATCGAAATTTGATGGAAAGAGGAACTTCGGTTCGTTTTTCTTTTTTTAACCACGGACACGGCCGCTTTGCGCTGGATCACGTACATGTACATGGCCCGGCATTTTCTGGGTAGGGGGCGTTGTGCGCGCATGCCCGCCGCCTCATTTGTGCTGTCGATCAGCAGGTCCCAGCCAATGATTTATGACCAGGACCTGCTGATCGGCTTATCGAATCACAGCACAGAGCTCTGTGTTTACTAACAACACAGGGCTCTGTACACGGAGCAGTGATTGTGGCTGTTTCCACAGCTTCAACTCTTCGGGGAAGGCCGTCCACAAGGTTTAGGAGGGAGTGTCTATATATATATATATATATATATAATGTTTACTGTCTGATATATACACTATATTTTGCCCCAAGTATTGGTCAGCCGGCCTTCCATACACACATGACCTTTAATGTCCTTCCAGTCTTAGTCCGTAGGGTTCAATATTGAGTTGGCCCCCGCCCATTATCCACGCACATGACCTTTAATGGCCCCCCAGTCCCTTAGTCCTGTAGGGTTCAATATTGAGTTGGCCCCGCCCTTTCCACGCACATGACCTTTAATGGCCCCCAGTCTTAGTCCGTAGGGTTCAATGTTGAGTTGGCCCCCTTGCCCTTTCCACGCACATGACCTTTAATGGCCCCCCAGTTCTTAGTCCGTAGGGTTCAATATTGAGTTGGGCCCCGCCCTTTCCACGCACATGACCTTTAATGGCCCCCCAGTCTTAGTCCGTAGGGTTCAATGTTGAGTTGGCCCCAGCCCTTTGCAGCTATAACAGCTTCAACTCTTCTGGGAAGGCCGTCCACAAGGTTTTAGGAGGGTGTCTATGGGAAGGTTGGACCATTCTTCCAGAAGCACATTTGTCAGGTCAGGCACTGATGTCGGGGGAGGAGGCCTGGCTCGCAGTCTCCGCTCTAATTCATCCCAAAGGTGTTCTATGGGGTTGAGGTCAGGACTCTGTGCAGGACAGTCAAGTTCCTCCACCCCAAAACTGGCTCCTCCATGTCTTTATGGACCTTGCTTTGTGCACTGGGGGGCAGTCATGTTGGAACAGGAAGGGGCCATCCCCAAACTCTTCCCACAAAGTTGGGAGCATGAAATTGTCCAAAATGTCGCCTTAAGAGTTCCCTTCACTGGAACTAGGGGGCCAAGCCCAACCCCTGAAAAACAACTCCACACCATAATCCCCCCTCCACCAAACTTTACATTTGGCACAATGCAGTCAGGCAAGTACCGTTCTCCGGGCCCCTGCTAAACCCAGACACGTCCATCGGATTGCCAGACAGAGAAGCGTGATTGGTCCATCCAGAGAACACATCTCCATTGCTCTAGAGTCCAGTGGCGGCGTGCTTTACACCACGGCATCCGACGCTTTGCATTGCACTTGGTGATGGAAGGCTTGGATGCAGCTGCTCGGCCATGGAAACCCATTCCATGAAGCTCTCTACACACTGTTGTTGGGCTCATCTGAAGGCCACACCAAGTTTGGAGGTCTTTAGCTATTGACTCTGCAGACAGTTGGTGACTTCTGCGCACTGTGCGCTTCAGCATGTGCTGACCCCGCCCTGTCATGTGACGTGACCTACCACTTTGTTGTGGCTGTTGTTCCAGTTGCTTCCACTTTGTTATAATCCCACTAACAGTGCTCAGAGCGTGGAAATATTTAGTAGCCAGGAAATGTCACGGATGGACTTTATTGCCCAGGTGACCACTAGATATCACGGGACCCACGCTTGGGAGTCACTGAGCTCCTGAGAGCAACCCCATTCTTTTACCAATGTTTGTAGAAGCCGTCTGCATGCCTAGGGGCTTGATTGTATACACCCTGTGTCCATGGAGGGGATTGGAACACCCTGAATCACATGATATGGAGGGGATTGGAACACCTGAATCACATGATTGGGAGGGGATTGGAACACCTGAATCACATGATTGGGAGGGATTGGAACACCTGAATCACATGATTGGGAGGGGATTGGAACACCTGAATCACAAGATATGGAGGGGATTGGAACACCTGAATCACATGATTGGAGGGGGATTGGAATACCTGAATCACATGATTGGAGGGGATTTGAACACCTGAATCACATGATTGGAGGGGATTTGAACACCTGAATCACATGATTGGGAGGGTGGGGCCAATACTTTTGGCAATATAGTGTATATAGTTTGTAGATGCTATAACTTTCACATAAACCAATTAATATACACTTAGTGGGATTTTGTTTTTTTTTACCATTGGCGTATTGGCCATGAAGAAATGTGATTTTTATTCATTTTTTTTTATTGGATATGTATTTTTTAGCAGAAAGGTAAAACTATTGCATTTTTCAAACTTTTAGGTGTTTTTTCGTTTATATAATTAAAAAACTAACAAACCCAGCAGTGATCAAATACCAACAAAAGAAAGTTCTATTTGTTGTACAAAGAAAAAATGATACAAATTTCATATGGATACAGCGTCGCAATGACCGAGCAATTGCCAGTTAAGTAGAGCAGTGCCAAATAGTACCGAATGGCCTGGTCACGAAGGGGATAAAAACCTTCGAGAGATGAAGTGGATATCTCTTGTTCTGGCCGGTTGCGGTAGGGACTGTGTTGGGTGGCTGTTTCAGTGCAGTCCCACCACAAGGCGAAATGTCTTGTCCACTACGTGGCCACCCATATGGAAGAAAAATATATATTAAATATATTTTAAAAATATTCTTCCCAAATATATTAAAATATATTAGAAATACTACAATTTTTGCCGTATTCAATATATTTAAAAATATATATATATATATATATTTTTTTTTTTTTTTTATATATATTACAAATTATATGGAAAATATGTTTTAAAAAATATATTTTTTTTAAATATATTCTTCAGATTGTTTGTAACATATAGAAAAAGTCATTTTAACATACGTTTTTATATATATTTGTAAATTCATTCCAAAAATGTCGATTAAATGTATTTTTAAAGACATACAGTATATTTGAAAATGTATTTTTAAAAAATATTTTCTATATATTTTGTAATATATAAAAAAGCAAATTCAACATGCAGTATATATATATATATATATATATAAATATATATGAATACAGACAAAATTGTAGTATTTCAAATATATGTCAATATATTTGGAAGAATATTTTTAAAATATATATTTAAAATATATTTTTCTTCCATGTGGGCAGCTTACACCACCGGGTTGACTGAGAAAAACGTTCGTCAGGCCGTACTTTTTTTTGCAGCGCGAGACAATCCACACCCCTGTACTGCGCAGCAGCCAACCAAACTTTATAAAAAGTCGCTGTTTGGCATTTCAATGACATTCATAAAAAAAAGAAACAGATACGCCGTGTGCCAATGGGGCCTGAGACTGGTCAGTAGGATACGCCGTGTGCCAATGGGGCCTGAGACTGGTCAGTGGGATACGCCGTGTGCCAATGGGGCCTGAGACTGGTCAGTAGGATACGCCGTGTGCCAATGGGGCCTGAGACTGGTCAGTGGGATACGCCGTGTGCCAATGGGGCCTGAGACTGGTCAGTGGGATACGCCGTGTGCCAATGGGGCCTGAGACTGGTCAGTGGGATACGCCGTGTTGCCAATGGGGCCTGAGACTGGTCAGTGGGATACGCCGTGTGCCAATGGGGCCTGAGACTGGTCAGTGGGATACGCCGTGTGCCAATGGGGCCTGAGACTGGTCAGTGGGATACGCCGTGTGCCAATGGGGCCTGAGACTGGTCAGTAGGATACGCCGTGTGTCCAATGGGGCCTGAGACTGGTCAGTGGGATACGCCGTGTGCCAATGGGGCCTGAGACTGGTCAGTAGGATACGCCGTGTGCCAATGGGGCCTGAGACTGGTCAGTAGGATACGCCGTGTGCCAATGGGGCCTGAGACTGGTCAGTGGGATACGCCGTGTGCCAATGGGGCCTGAGACTGGTCAGTGGGATACGCCGTGTGCCAATGGGGCCTGAGACTGGTCAGTGGGATACGCCGTGTGCCAATGGGGCCTGAGACTGGTCAGTGGGATACGCCGTGTGCCAATGGGGCCTGAGACTGGTCAGTGGGATACGCCGTGTGCCATGGGGCCTGAGACTGGTCAGTAGGATACGCCGTGTGCCAATGGGGCCTGAGACTGGTCAGTGGGATTCGCCGTGTGCCAATGGGGCCTGAGACTGGTCAGTAGGATACGCCGTGTGCCAATGGGGCCTGAGGACTGGTCAGTAGGATAAGCCGTGTGCCAATGGGGCCTGAGACTGGTCAGTAGGATACGCCGTGTGCCAATGGGGCCTGAGACTGGTCAGTAGGATACGCCGTGTGCCAATGGGGCCTGAGACTGGTCAGTGGGATACGCCGTGTGCCAATGGGGCCTGAGACTGGTCAGTGGGATACGCCGTGTGCCAATGGGGCCTGAGACTGGTCAGTGGGATACGCCGTGTGCCAATGGGGCCTGAGACTGGTCAGTGGGATACGCCGTGTGCCAATGGGGCCTGAGACTGGTCAGTAGGATACGCCGTGTGCCAATGGGGCCTGAGACTGGTCAGTAGGATACGCCGTGTGCCAATGGGGCCTGAGACTGGTCAGGGGTTCTTTAAGCCAAACTGCAACGCTGGCGGGTCCTAAACTGGCCGTACACCAGTAGAATTTCATGCAAAAATCGTAGCATTAAGAACATTCGTGGATTTGCTCCGTTGGGTAAAACTGACATTCATTTTCCAACTGCAGTGGCAAGAAAATTCAAAGGAGAGGGATGGAAAATTTTCAACGAATGAATGAAAATGGCGCATTCAGGGGAAGGTCCGGAATACAAAGCCTTCTGAGTCCTGGACTTTCATCTCTGAATGCGCAGGGCCCTAAAGGCTGGTGCCACTCGGTGCAGCCGCTCAGGCTCCACGGTGTCACATGGCGTTACTGTACTGTACCCTCCTGATTTCCCCCTATACTGTGCCACCCTGATTCCCTCCATAGTGTGCCCTCCAGATCTCCTCCCTGTACTGTGCCCTCCTTCCTCCCCCCTGTACTGTGCCCCCCCTTGTACTGTGCCCTCTGACTCCCCCCTGTACTGTGCCCTCCTGCCTCCCCCTGTACTGTGCCCTCCTGACTCCCCCTGTAACTGGGGTGCCCTCCTGCCTCCCCCAGTACTGTGCCCTCCTGATCCCCCTGTACTGTGGCCCTCCCTGATCCCCCCTGTACTGTGCCCTCCTGACCCCCCCCCTGTACTGTGCCCTCCTGACTCCCCCTGTACTGTGCCCTCCTGCCTCCCACCCCCCAGTACTGTGCCCTCCTGCCTCCCCCTGTACTGTGCCCTCCTGCCTCCCCTTCTACTGTGGCCTCCTGCCTCCCCCCTGTACTGTGCCCTCCTGCCTCCCCCTGTACTGTGCCCTCCTGCCTCCCCCTGTACTGTGCCCTCCTGATCCCCCCTGGGGGGGTACTGTGCCCTCCTGAACCCCCTGTACTGTGCCCTCCTGCCTCCCCCTGTACTGTGCCCTCCTGACTCCCCCTCTACTGTGGCCTCCTGATCCCCCTGTACTGTGCCTTCCTGCCTCCCCCTGTACTGTGCCCTCCTGACTCCCCCTCTACTGTGGCCTCCTGATCCCCCTGTTACTGTGCCCTCCTGCTTCCCCCTGTACTGTGCCCCCCTGATCCCCCTGTACTGTGCCCTCCTGGCCCCCCCCCATTTACTGTGCCTCCTGCCTCCCCCTGTACTGTGCCCTCCTATTCCCCTGTACTGTGCCCTCCTGCCTCCCCGTGTACTGTGCCCCTGGCCTGCCCCCCCCCAGTGTCCCGTGCCCTCCTGCCCCCCCCCACCATGTACTGTGCCCTCCTGCCCTCCCCCCGTGTACTGTGGCCCTCCTGCCCCCCACGTGTACTGTGCCCGGTCCTGCCCCCCCGTGTGTACTGTGCCTCCTCCTGCCCCCCCCCCCCCCCCTGTACCATGCCCTCCTTCTTTTGCTCCCCCCACCACCATGTACTGTGCCCTCACTGCCCCCCCCCCCATGTACCGTGCCCTCCTGCTCCCCCCCCCCACCATGTACTGTGCCCTCCTGCCTCCCCCCCGTGTACTGTGCCCCCCCGATCCTGCCCCCCCCCCGTGTACTGTGCCCTCCTGCCTCCCCTGTTACTGTGCCCTCCTGCCCCCCCCCTGTACTGTGCCCTCTCCTG